TATATATGTATGTATGTATGTATGTATATATATGTATGTACGTATGTATATATACATATGTATATGTATATATACACGTATGTATATGTATGTAAAACTGGGGAAACACGAGTTTCCTGGTAGTAGATGTGACTTAGATATTGATGTGAACAATATTTGAAAGTCAGAGACCATTATTACTGGCATGTGACATGAACATGGCTCAACTTTCATGACGTATTTTGGAGGGAAATTTCTGTTTGGACAAAACTGTCATGCTGTATGTATAAACACATAAATTCTGTATACAGCTCAAAATTATTTACCAATTTATTTTCCACAGTCCAATCACAAACTGAAAACAGACACAGCAATAGCCTCAGTTCAGCAAAGCCATACACTGTAAACCCTATCTGTGCAATTTTACTCAAGTCAGTTTTTTAAACATGCACATGTATGCTTGGTGTTAGTGCAGCCTCTCTTTTCCCTAAACAGAGACTGACAAAGCAAAAAATACAGTGGAAAAGCAAATGAGGACGTGTCAGCCCATGAGGTTATGCTGGGTGATGGTTAAGCGAAGCACAGGGTTCCAGTGGAAACACAGCTGTACTGTCATTAGCTAGCACCACTTTGCAAATAACACACTGTGGTAGTGGACCATCATCAGGACCAGTCCATGGAAATCCAAATACTCATCGTCATACATACTCTGTTTTCTGCTCGCCCCAGTTTCTGTCTCTTCCACTGTAGGTACTACAATCCATCCATTTTGTTCTACACAGAGCTGAGCTGAAGTTTGATGTTTACAGTTATTTTTTCTGGTTTATTTATTTTTCCTCATGCTGTGCCTCCCCTGAAGCCTACTGGCGCCTCCAGGGGAGGCGCACGTCACAATTTAAAACCACTGTTCCAAACTGTAAGATGCTGGATTCCACATGGGCTCAATTGGATTTTACATGGACTTTGCATTAGGGAGCTAGCAGGGGAAAGTCTGCTTAATGTCTGGGAGAACCAAGTCAGACATTTGCATTCTAGATATTTTCAGGGTGTAAGTTCATGTGTTCAGAGTGCTTTGCATCTGAGCATCAGGTTTTGGAGAATCTTTACGTCTTGTCTGTCCTCTGCTCTGAACTGATAAATATGGCTTTCTTTGCTGTTTTACAACCTGAGTGGCTGCTATAGAACTGATGTGTGTTTGTGTATGTGTTGTCGGGATAATGAAAATTTGATTTGCTTCACACTTTTACAAAATGGGAGAAAGAAAATGCAATAAAGACAAGAAAATTAATAACTTCAATACAGCTAGTTAAAAATTCTGACTAGCATTGTGTTGTGTGACAATTTCTATTTGTAATTTGCTGCAAGGTAGACAAACAAGTATTGCAATGCTGATATTAAATTTTCCCTGTACATTAGTCATGACTACGGTGTTTGTCTTCCCTGTGTGTATAGCTCCAGTAGTCACAGGAGTAGGACCTAGTTTCTCTATGGGGGAGCTCCAGGGTCATCTGGCCTATGACCTCAACCAGCCCGGCAACCAGCCAGTTACCCTGAGACGATCACTGGCCAGCACCTCATCTAGCGGGTAAACACAGACACCCACTGCATCTGCCTTGATTACCTTGCATTAACCTCTACCACCAGAACATCAGAAAGAGCAGAGCCTGCTTTGTAAATCTTAACTTATTAGCAGTACTAAGCTCTGTTTATGTATTATATTCACTAATATCAGCCCTTACCATGAGTTTAAACTATAATCTTAGTTCAGATGTTAAGCCTCAAACCCAAGTCCAGACCCTCAAACAGCTTAAATGTTACTTACAACAGCTGCCTCTGCAGCTCCGTTTATTTGTTTTGAATCTTCATTTGAAAGAATTAAAATAACCTTTTACATTTACAGTATGTGGGACATATTTGAAAATCTAAATTTGGAGCTTGCATTAGCAAAATAAAAATTTGTACACACTGTAGCATTTCAGGCCTTGTAAAATGTTTATAACATTGAACTAGCTAGTTATTCAGTTTGATTGTTAAGCCTAACTACAAACAAAATGAACGCTCTAAGAGGCACAGATATTGTTCTAGAACAGACCAGGAAGAGCAGACCTAGACCAAAAGCTATGGGAATTTATTCACCTTCTGGCAGCCGCACACCTGCTCACCCAGCCACATTGACAATTTGTTTAAGAAGATCCATAACAGTGTCTGTATGCTGTATACATGTAACAATAGCTCATTACACTTTAACTGTTTCACTGGCTAATTTTGCAACAAGGTAATCAAGTACACTCTGGAATGAGGGAAGAAATAAATCACTCATGAGCACATGTTTGAGCAAGTCTTTTATTTTTGTAAGTAGTTGACTTGTAGCATGGTGTTTTCTGCTGCAAACCTTCTCATGACCTTGCAGTTCTGCAATGCTCTGTTGTCATGTGGAAAACATGCACACAAGGATTCATTTGCACAATGTTAAATATCTTACATATTTACTTTGAAGAGTCGAGGTATTTAAAAACATCTCTTAACATTACACTATACAGTTCAGCATCACGTCCTCCAGAAATGGAGAAATTAAAACTGAAAATAGTGATGTGTAAATCATTACATTGCATTGAAAACAACACAGCAGCACATTTTTTGATGTGATATCTCATCAATTTTATTTTTTGTTCAAAATAAACACTCACTTCAATTCTGATGCTGAAACACGTTCCAAAAAAAGTTGGGATGGCTGCATTGCAGGTCCAGTAATTGAGGTACAATGAAATTATGATTCCATGTGAAACAGGTGATGTCAATGGGTGACTGCATCATGATTTGGTACAAAAGTGACATCCAAGAAAGGCTGAGCCCTTTAGGAGCAAAGATGGGCCGAGGACTATACTATATCAGAGCAGTATACCGGGCACCCTGGACCCCCTGCAGTATGCCTACCGGCCCAACACAGCCCCCTCAGACACCACCACAGCTTCCCTCCACTATTCCCTTTCTCCCCTGGAAAATGTCCTACATCAGGATACTCTTCATTCACTACAGCTCCGCCTTCAACACAGTTGTCCCACACAAACTCACCCACAAACTGTTCACACTGGGTCTGCACCCCACCCTCTGTGACTGGCTCCTGGACTTTGTGACTGGCAGGCCCCAGACTGTCAGGATTGGCAATAGGACTTCAGCCAGCATTGTTACAAACACTGGCACCCCACAGGGATGTCCTCAGTCCCATCCTCTACCCCCTGTTCACCCACGACTGTGTCGCCTCCCACAAAGACAACATCATCCTAAAGTTCGCCGACGACACCG